CATTAGTTTGAAATTATTTTGTATTTCTGTGCTATTTTCATGTTATTTTCATGCTATTTTCATGTTTTTTATAAAATATGATCATGTTTTTTATCATATTTTAAACTATATATATGCTTGAGAATTTTGTAAATGAGTTAATAATAAAATAAATAATTAGCAAATAATTTAATTAGGAGTAAATAATACTGTGCATATAAGAGTTAATAATCATATAAGAATAAATAATAATTCCACATAGATTTTTTTATTAAAATATTTAATAGAATGATGTACAAACAACTCCAAGCATTGAATATAACTATAACAGATGACATATAACACATAACATTTTTCTAAAAAATTAAAAGGGATTATTTTCTAAAAATTAATAAAAATATCTTCAATAACAGAAAATAATTTTCAAAAGGTGTTGTACCTATGTTTCATAGGGGATGTAAATTAAGTTTCTTGAAATGTAGTATTAATTATTCAAAAATAAAATTTTAAAAAATAGTTAAAATTTTAAATTCATACAGATGTGTCCTTTTCAAGATGTAACAGAAAGACGACCCTAAAAACTTGAGAATTTATGGAATCATAATTTTAAATATACCTAACAAAATTTTTTGTTTGTATTAGTCATTAAAACATAATATACTAAAAAGGTTCAAATTGAAATTTTATGATTTCAATTACCATTATTTCTTTAAAAGGTTTTTTTGTAGTAAATAGAGGTCCAATAGATTTTACTTTGTTTTCCATTTAAATTATTTTAGTGTTAAAGATATTCCCACGTAAACAAATAAATTATATTTTTTATTTTATTCATTTTCTTTTTTTAGCATCTTCTACAAGAAAATAAAATATTTTATGGGTAAAAAAAAATCTGAAGCATTTTATTCGTTTAATTGCAGTTATTTTAATGAGCCTATATTTGCTTTCGTTATTAATTAACGTAAAAACAGCACATTTGATGAAAAAGCCTCACGACATTTGCCCATAAAAAATAAATCTTTCGCGTTTGTTTCTTAATTATTAATTGAAGTAAAAATTAATAAAAAAATATTCCGAATGCAGTACTTCTATCGTCTTGAAAAGAAACATTTTAGGAGAAATAATTTTTTAAGAAATAAATTGAGTTATTTTTTATAACAGATTTCTGTTTTATTGTTACATATTATATAAAAAATATTGCTTCAATTATAACAGTAAAAAAATGCTTTAAATTATAATTTTAATCGGATAAAAATGTTTCTTATCTCAATGCAATTTAGCATCATTACTTTTTATCGAAGTTTTATTTCATTAAATTGACATTTTTTTTCTCCATTGAGAAGTTTATCATCCTTTAATTGGTTGTTGGAGATTTAAATTATTAACTTCAAACTTTCCAATTACAAGTAAAAAAAATATTAATTGCTTGATAATTTTATCTCCAGATTTAATCTAAATGGCATTCATTATCCAATTAACAAGATTTACCTTGGCTAAGAGAACTATCTTCCGATTTAAAAAATTCAAATGAAACATTTAAAATTTCGATAAAAAATAGAAAATGAAAAGAAAATAACGCTGCAATTAATAATGCAATGAATCTAATGGCATTTTCCCATTAATTGCTTTTTTTTTCTATCAATGCATGGATCGATAAAATATTATAGTTTATTTTATTTTTTTTTCATTAACGTAAAGAAAATTCTGCATGATTAAAAAAAAAAAACTTAATATCGAATGTGAAATTACTTATTAACAGACAAATATGGGTTAATAATAAAATACTTAATAAAAGACAATTAAAGTGTTTTGATTAGGTACATTTTGTTTATTTTTAATTTTTAATTTATTTTTCTCCTAAAGTAAATAATTTTCTGTATATACAAAAACTACAGCATAAGACGAAAAAAAAAATGCATCTTTAAAAATGTATGGAGGCGTTGAAAAATGCATTAATATAAAAGTAAATATCTCGTTAAACTGCTCATATCAGGATATAAAAGCGCAATATACACAACATGCGCTTCGATTGAAGATATAATGGCAATGGACATTTTAACAATGTTAATTAATTAAAAACCTAAAAGGGGATTTTAAAATAAGAAATATATTTGTAATTAATAAAATTACAAGTAAAAACTTGCTGTTATTTTTTTTTCTTTTACTGGAATAAAATACTTAATGCAGTTACAACTGGTTGTTGAAGAGCTGAAGTCTGATTCTGTAACGGTGATTTATAACTGGCAAACACCAGCTGGTAACAATACGACGAAAAGAAACTTTTGCCAGTGTTTCAAACAGATATGCGTTAAACACGATTATGTGAGAAATGACTTATTTCATTACCAAGTCAGACAACTGGAGCCATTAATTTACAATACATATCTGTCACGAATTGTTCAAAATGAAAAAAAAAAAAAAAAATCTCGAAGCATGCTTTCGCTTCTATTCGTCTGAATGAAAAGTGAAAAATAAAAGATAATGACGCTGATTTTTCTGTTGGAAAGCAAATTTAGTCGGCTATCGTACGTAACTGAAACACTCCAAAACTTGATATTCCGTTGAAGTGATGTCTTATCTGGAATGTTGGAAAAAGAGTAATTACGCGAGATCATTTTGGAAGTTTCAATTGCAAATGATAATAGAATGAAATGCGTTCGCTGGCGTCTCGAATGTTTGGAATTAATGATTTATATGCCCTCTACATTTCTTTCTGATTGAAATTTCTATATAAAAGACTATGCATTATAAATTTAAAGTTTGAAACAAATAAAGAAAAATCAAATACGAAAATTTATTCTACAAATAACGTAAGGATAAGGCATCTCTCTCTCCACATATAACTAAAAGGAATTTGAATATATACTGGATATTTTCTAAAATAGCTTGAATAGAAATAGAAATCTATGACTAGCTTAAAAAGAATATTTTTCAACACATTGTATCTTTAGGAAATTATTTTTGTACTTTAGAATAATATTTAAAATAGCATTTCACAACAACAGAAGTGCCTATTTACCGATATTTTAAAATATTAAATATGATTGGTCCACCAAAAAAAAAAAAAAAGCTGTCTTAATAAAAATTATTGAGTGCCTCTGGACATCAATGGGTTTCAATGAGTCAAAGGAATGTTTTTTTCCCAGGGATTATATATTTATTTGAACTTCTCGGGGGTATTCCATCGGCTTTGACCTCGGGATAGTTATCGCCCGAATAACGATCCACATTTTTCATGGGAAGCGGCCTTTGCACAATTTTTTGTCCTCAAACAGAAAAAAATGACAAGGCAGGACTTCAAGACAAGACTGGGGTCACTACCGAAAGAAAACAAAAATATTATGAGATGGGCATTTTTATCCTCAGGAATTCTAAGAATTTCTTGAGGTATCTAATAAAAAATTTCTAGTTTCTGTTGACAAAATGAGGATAAACATAGTTGCTTAAAACGTTGTACAGTACCTTTACTATAATTAAATTGTAGTTAGTAATCGTTACATTTTAATACAATACATTTGAAATTCATAGTAGTAATAAAAAATTAAAACATCCTGCTATTTATATATTGTTAATAACATAGAATATGAAAATCATAACAATTATATATTTTATTATAATAAATTTAAATTGAGATGTTAAAAATAAAACATAATATAATTTCATTTTAAAATGTACAACATTTCCTAGTTTCTGTTGACAAAATGGGAATAAACATAACATTTAAAACGTTTGATTATTGATACAGTAGTTAAATTGTAGTTAGCAATCGTTACATTTTAATACAATTTATTATTACAATGCATATTTATGACATAAAATTAAAAAAAATCACAACAATTAAATATTTACTTTATAAAAAAGCAGTATCAGGATGTTAAGAATAAAAATGATATGAAAATGTATTGTTAATATTTGACATATTGTTAATAATATAAAATAAAAAAAAACAACAATTAGATATTTTATTATAAAAAAAAGGTGAATTTGGATGTTAAGAAGGGAAATGATATAAAAATATATTGTTACTATTTTATATATTGTTAATAACATAAAAGAACCACAACAATTATGTATTTTATTATAATAAAAAAGGTGAATTGGAATGTTAAGAATAAAAATGATGTAAAAATATATTGTTATTATTTTATATATTGATAATAACATAAAATAAAAAAATCATAACAATTATTTATTTTATTATAAAAAATGGGAATTTAGATGTCAAGTATGAAATTGATATAAAAATATATTGTTAATATTTTATGTATTGATTACAGCTTAAAATAAAAAAAAAACCCTAATAATTATGTATTTTATCATAAAAAATGCTGAAATTTATATTGATAATAAAAATGATAAAACTTCCCTTGTAAATGCACGACATTTGAAATGAACTGCTGTACTACATTCTTTGAAGATTTCCAATTTACAATTTTGAAACTTCAAAAAAAACTATATTCGCACAGAAAAAAATTAAGAGAATTTAATTAAAAAATATATATAATTAACAATGAAATTATTAACATTTATATTAAATTTATGCTGTTGTGTCCTTTAAAAGGCAGCTTTTTTGTACTCTCAAACACAAAGATGAATCTCACAAACCGAAAAAATTGCTGTTAAATAAAGTTTCAAGATGATTTCGGCAACAAAAGAACATTTCTAAAGAACAAGGTTAATTTCATTTGAATATAAACAAACAAAAAAAAAGAAGAAATTTCGCGACATCTTATCATTTTACTGTAATCTTATTCAAAATTCAATGGAAATTTTTAGGTTTAAGTAATTTTCCGGAAATATATTTTTTTTCTTTCAGTCAACCACGCTCATGAATAATTAATGTATATAACTATTTTAATCATCAATATCATGTGCGGCTTCAGATGACTCCAAGAGTACATTTTTCTTTTTTTTCTACTTAATAGTTTTAAAAGTATGGAATAAAATTTTATTACTTCAACATACATATTAAAAGGAGAAAATATCTCCCAAAAGAGCATTGTTGTTTTTATAAAACTTCTGCCAACGGCCGTACCATGCTGAATATACCGGTTCTCGTTAGATCACCGAAGTCAAGCATCATTGGGCGCGGTCAGTACTTGGGTGGGTGACCACCTGGGAATGCCGTTGGCAACCTGAATGGCCGAGTGTCGCGCTCTGGCGCTCGGTGCCACAGGTTTCGGGTTCGAATCCCGGCGGTGCCATGGATGTTTGTAGTGGTTCGGAATCCACTTTAAACCGTAGGTCCCAGTCTCCTATGACTGTAAGAGCGTCACGGAGCAAAAGTCAGGCTTCTACCTACGGGTGCTCCATCACAACAGAAGCTGCTTCCTTCCCCTTCAATCATGAGCACGTATGGGCTCGTGGGCTTGGCCAGCCAAGTGGGATAAGAAACAACAACAACATAAAACTTCTACAGAAATAATTTTTATTTCTCGCTTTAAAAGAAGGCTTTTGCTTTTAGTCAAAAAATTGTTAAAAGTTTTTGACTTTTATAATGATGTGTGTTGTTAATAATCAATTTTTGTTAAAGATTAAAATTTTAATTATTTATCTAAAGACTCATTAATTTAGAAGAAATAGAAATATTTCTAAAACTTTCCAAAATTTATAAGCACATTGTTACAGTTTAATTAATTTTTAAATATTTTAATTTAAATCTAAATTACTTTTTCTGTTAAATTTTCTGTTAGTTTTCAGATTCATTGTTACTTACGATGCACTAGGGTCATTTCACCCGTATTTGTAACATGTCACCCGTATTTTCCCACGGCGATTTCGAGAATGAACACTCTAAGATGTATTGTCCAAAACTTAGTTTCTTTGGCTTCTAAACTAATGAACACAATAATTACAATTTAAGAAACCGACATGAAGGTTTAAAATAAGTTAAGAGATTAATAACGTGTATTTAGGAGTTTAATTACTTTTACATCTCAAGAAGACTTGAAGAGCAATTTTTAATGGTAAATATCTTGCATTAAAGTAAAAATAAAGGAATTAACCACGTAAACTGACTTGACGTTTGCATAACCTTCGTCATTTCTCCTCATTTCTGAAGGCAGTGACTGCAATGAAAGGCGTTATCTGATTTGAAACTAAGCCTTCTTGTACACTAACTGTGTTCGCTATCACAGAGTCATGAGTCATAGTCCAATAAACTAACTTATGAAACAAATATAAATACCAATATTTATATATATACTAATCTTTTTTTTTACTCTGAAAAAGAATGAAAAAAGATTATTCCATTGGTTTTTATTTTTGTTATTCCCATGTAAAAAATATTTATTTTTAATTTTATTTATTTCGTTCTTTTAGTTTTTTTAGCATCTTCCGCAAGAAAAGAAATTAATTCATCGATAAAAAAAATACTGAAACATTTGATTCATTTAATTGCTGTTATTTTAGTGAGCCTATATTTTCTTTCGCTATTAATTAACGTAAAAAAATCAAACGTGTTGCAAAAATATCACGACATTTGCACATAAGAAACAAATAATTTTTAATCGATAATTGAAGTAAAAATTATTAAAAAAATTATTTCATACAGCCTTCTTGTAAGAAATATTTTAGAAGAAATATTTTTTTAAGAAACATATTAAATTATTTTTTTATAACAGATTTCTGCTTTATTGTCACATATTACATAAAAATTATTGCTCCAATTATAACCGTCAAAAAATGTTTTAAATTATAATTTTAATCACATAAAAATGTTTCTTAGCTTAATGCAATTTAGTATCATTACTTTTTGCCGAAAGTTTATTTCTTTAAATTTACATTTTCTTTTCGATTGAGAATTTTATCACTCTTTAATTTATCTTGGAGATTTAAATTATTAACTTAACATTTTTCCAATTAAAAGAAAAAAATATTAATTGCTAGATAATTTCATGTCCAGATTTAATCTAAATTGCATTCATTATCCAATTAACGAGATTTACCTTTGCTAAGAGAACTATCTTCCTATTTAAGAAAAAGAACTGTTTAGATAATTCAAGTGAAACATTTAAAATTTCGATTAAAAAAGAAAATATCACTGCAATTCATAATGCTAAATGCATTTTCACATTAATGGCAATTTTTTTCTATTTAATGTATAGATCGATACATTATTATAGCTTTCTTTTTATTTTCATTACCGTAAAGAATAAGATGACTAAAAAAATAAACCAATTAAAACTGAACTTAATAACGAAAGGGAAATAACTTAATAAAAGAGACATAAATATTTTAAAGTATTTTGATTAAGCACATTTTGTTTAATTTTAATTCTTAATTTATATTTTCGCTAAATTACATAATTTTCTGTGTATGCAAGAAAAAAGTATAAGACGAGAAAAATGCACCTTTAAAAATTGATGTATTGGAGGGGAAAAATGAATTAATTAAAATTAAATGTCTCGTTAAACTGCGGATATCAGGATATAAATTCGTAATATACAAACACGCGCTTCAATTGAAGATCTAATGGGAATGAATAATTTAACAATGCTAGTTCAGAAGTCTAAAGGATAATTTTAAAATAAGAAATATATATTTAATTAACAAAATTACAGGTAAAAACTTGCTGTTATGACATGTGCTATAAATGCAACTGGCGTTTTCATTAATATCAAATTTGATTTTGATAATGCAATTGATTTTGCGGGCCTGATAGCAGACTCACTAGAGCTCTGGCGCTCGGTGACAGATGTTTCGGTATAGCTACAAAACGTATCTATAAAACTAAAAAGTTCAGTTTTTTTCCTTGAATTTGTTATTTCTTTTAAAAATTCACAGCCAAAAATTAAACAAAAACTATTAATTAAACCTTTTTTTTTAAATAATTAATTTTTTTAATTGTAATCTGATTTTATGCCACCAGAGACAGTCAAACCGTATACCGTCAAACTTTAAAAAAAAAATATATATATGGTACATTAGTTAAGTTATTGCAAAAATATAAGTATATGATTAGTAGTATGAGATTTTAGTATGAGATTTTAATTTATTTTTCAAATTAAAGCAATCATTCTTATGTTTTAAAAAAGAAATACCAACAGGTTAAAGGTGAAAAGATATATTCAATTTTCTTGGATAAGAATCATTGCTTTAATACAAATGATTGCTTTATTTATCCAGTTTATGTAATTTAAGGCTAGTTATTTAAAAAAGAAAATCTTCAAATCTGCACATATTTTTTTTTCTTAATAAAATATATAATTTTCAATAATCTAGCAGCAACGCTGCATCATATATGCTGGTCAACACTAAATCCCTTTTCCAACACTTTGCTTTCCTCTTCGGGCATTAACGTCTCATTTATAAAATCACTGCAACTCAGTTACCTTACTTTTCTTGTGTACCTAATTACAGTTTCCCCGGTGCCTCAATGCATTTTTAATGACTGAATTCGATACAAGACCTCCAGAAGAACTCCGTGTTACGCAGTGCATCATTATTATCTCATCTGTATCAAGTGCCCCTTCTCGAAAACAATGCCCATCTGTCGCAGGACAACAATCGTATTCATGGATGGGCAATCAAATGATGAAATCGAGTCACCCCTTCTGTAAAGTGTGCAGCCATCGATCCTTTCTGTTAATAGCACAGACAGTGCTTTCTGCACAATCTTCTTTATTATTTCGAGGACCCGAAGTAAGAGAAAAGGTCTTCTCCAATGCTATTTGAATAAAAGGCTTTTTGTGTTAGAAATCTAAACATTTTGCTCTATGAATATGTCTTATTGTTGGACATGTCTTAGAATGGGTGCTTTTTTTGTGTATAAACGAGTCAAAACATTTGTTTTGGATTTAATTCATTTACTATAGTGAAAATATATGAAAGATTAGAAATATATTACTATATATATATATATATTCAGAAAAACACACAAACTATTCAGAAAAAGTATATATATGTATATATATATATATATATATACTTTTTCTGAATAGTTTGTGAGATTGTTTTAATTTGATTGATTCTGTAATGTTTCTGAATACTTTGCACTTGAACACTTGGTACTATTCGCATTAACCTGTTGCTATTCCTTAACAGAACGACAAAAATGTTACCCCTTACAACCAGCACATTCTACGTTACGGTGTGTAGGATTTTATAATGCATTCAAATATTGTCACTGCAATCTTAAACAAGCATACACATGAGTATCATCTGTGTGGATTTGTACTTCGAAATTATTTTTAATTTAAATATATAGTTTTTAAATTAATCTAAAAAGCTAAACTAAAAAAAAAACTAAATTAAAAAAACTTAAACTAAATTTTTAAAAAAAGTATACATTACAAAATAGCAAAAGCTATTTTTATCTTAACTCAAGGGATATTTCTAAATCTACGGAAATTTCCATTAAATATATTTAAAGCCAAAACGATAAACATTTATGTGATATAGAATTTGTTACTTAACTATAGAACTTATAATTTTGTTCGAACCTGACTTTTAACGACTTTAACACGAATTTAACATTTAAGGTATTGTAAAACTATTTATTTATCGATTTCTGTTAGAATTATTTTACTTTAAGTTGAAAAATAGATTACAGACAATTCATTAATTATTCACTTAAAAAAAATTCATTGAATTTCTTGTAATATTTATTAATAATTACACGGCCAAAAACCATAATAAATAATCCATTCTTTCAAAAAAAAATTTAATATGACACCCAAAATCCGTCGTCGTATACCTTTTCAATATTTATTTATAAAAAATATTGGATCAATTAAAAAATTCATAATATAACATTTATTATAATTCATTATTACTGTATACTAAATAGTAAAAGAATTTACTATTTAATTCTTAGTCAACTCCAAAAAATTAAAATTTATATTGAGTACATATTTATCTTTAATTATATACGATAATATTTTATTATTACAGAGCTAGAAATATTAATTATTTCATAAGTTATGATAAAACTTTTGTATTTTCTATCCTAGAACCAAAATCGTATAACTCAACAATATACTAATGAATATGTTACAGTATATTAATATGTTACAGTACTGTAGAATTTTCACTTATCTCGAAGATATATGGAACCAAAGTCCAGGATATTTACACAAGTATATATTTACGAACATAATGGTATTTAACTTTAAACTAATTGTCT